CAGGGTAGAAACCTGTAAATTGGAGTTATTAAGAGAAAAACACGACAAATGAAACAAAGACTTGTTTTCTTATTTTTGCTTTAAAGTGCTCCTGACTAAGAGTTAGCGCAAGCCAAAATTTTCATTATGCTCTGTGGCATAAAGCAACTTTTTCTTGAGTATTCTTTTACTGCTGTATCTGGGGAGGAATAAAATGCGGCTGCAGGTATTGGCAAAAGGATAGAGTTCATCTGGATTTTCTACTTGAGGATCTACAATAGAAAATGTAAAGCGTTCCAGTCCATAGCCAGGGATTCGATCAGATCCTGACAAAAAAGCTGAAGGAAGGGGAAAAAGAAAAACAAAAACAAGTTAGCAAATTAAATAAAAACAAGATAATGTTATCAGAGGATGAAAATCATGAGGGAAAATTGGTGTAAAAATATGGCTATTTCCATAAGCTAATTATTTTGCTTTGTTGAATTTGTACCTGAATATAATAAAGCCTCTTGCTGATTCATAATAATTATAAACCCTCTTTTACTTTTACTTATATAGGCTTTGTGGATGAGAAAGGCCAGGCTAGGTTTGACCGTCTACATTTAAAAAGGATGAGCTAGCTTCTGCAATCCTTTGAGAAAGCTAAACTGCTTACGCCAACATAGTCTGCTCACGCAAGTTGAGGCCTCTGACCAACAACTGATAACCACAAAAGTAAGGGATAAAGTAATCGCAAGGTTCAAGGTGGTCAGATGCACTCAGGCAAGCCTCAAGGGATGTGAGGAGGGTCAGAGCTGTGTCTGTGCAATTCTTTCTGTCACTTCTTTGTGGCTTTCACTAGAAAATGTGGCGGGGGGGAAATGTCAAAAAGCCGTTTGAAACTATGGTGTTTTTCATGTGCAAGCATCTAAAATGTGTGTTGTGGGGGAGAGGAAAAGGCTATGAAAAGTTCAGAATGCCTGATATAGTACCAAGAAACATTTTCTTTTTTTCTTCTGGGAGTTTGTGAAACACAGTCCAAAAATTCCTGATGGTTCGATCTAACATTCCATACTGTATGTACGTCACGTTCTGTTGAAGAGATAAAAATAAAACAGGCCAGTTAATCCTCACTATTTCCATTTTTATTTAAAGCAAAAACAGTTTATCCAATAAATTTTATAATCCTGTTCATAGCTATTCAAACCCCCTTAACCTTTGGAATCTGCTTGTTCATTTGTTTTTCAAAGATTCATATGACAATCCTTGAGCTACAACTTGATTTTTAGTCCCCTGTATTCTTGTACCTGATGTAGATTAGAAACAGACTCAAAACAACGACACAAGTCAAAAAAAGAGAAAGTCCCTTGAGCTTCTGTTTTTCTGTTCATGACCTATGCACTCAACGAAAGAACAGGTCAGAAGGAGTTTATGCTCAGCAGATACAGCAGAAGTACACTGTGCTTGCATCCAATACCTTTTCCAGCAGACGCCAGTCAAATTTTGTGTGTCCCTCGAGAACAGTCTGGAGCTCCACAGGGAGAAACATCTTCCACTTTCTAGCTGGGCAGCCTCTTAAAAACCCTCGCATAAAGCCCTCAAACGGCTTCCGTATCGATTCATTGAACACGTAATTCACATACAAGTCAACAAATTCTTTCCTGCAAATATATTTTGAATCAAACAAGCAATGCAATAGCTGCTTTTTTAAAAGGAGAATTATAGAGAATTTTATTTCTTATTCCTTTATTCTGTATGACCTGCTCTACTGTCAAGACTCAGTCTTCACCGAGAGCAGTCGTCACTGCAAATTATTTATTCACTGAATAAGCTGGGAGGATCATCACAAATAAAAGAGAATGCTGGCCACCGTGGATTCATTTTGATAATACTCCTTGTACTTCATGAGAACACTCCAATGAAATCCTATCAGACACTTCACTATTAAGATGGAACCTAGCAGACCTAAATGGTGTAAATTCAGCAAAACTCCCACTGAATGCCCAAGAATTACCATGAAATCAAAATAAATATTTGCACAGCTGCTAGTCAGTACAGTTTCACTCTTCTCTCTGTGATGGGGATTTGTTTAGTGACTCTGTACTTGTACAATCAACTCAATGTAAACGCTATACTTCAAGCTTCCTAAACAGCCCTTTCATGCATCCTTATGGGTCCTCAGATCACCCGCATAACTCAGGCCACAGAATTTCTCTGTCCCCTGTGCTGAGGTTAATATTGACACAATACCTTATTGATAGATTGCTGCTTCTCTGTTATATACAAGATACATTCCATATACGTAACTAAGCAGGAAACATTTCGCTCGTAAAAAAAACCTTACAGAGGTGTACCTATAGCTGGATTTCCCAGAGACGTTGTCTGTATTTCCCTGAAAATATTGTTCAGGGGTATTTTGTATATTTGTAAGGAATTTCCCTGATAAGGCCAGGCAACTCTGTATATGCAGATGCCAGGACGCCCAAAGATCCCCTTCTTATCCACTGCTTGCACAAACTGCCAATGTCTGGCACATATGCAGCACGTACAGCAAGAACCGAAAGCATACAACCTATTGGACCAAGACCAACAGCACAATGCTGATGTTCAATATTTTCTAAGAGTATATGGAGATGGGTATAGACAGGGTATTTCATACACTCATAACAAGACAAGAGGATAAGAAAAACAAAAATAAAACTGACCTGTTATCCTTAGTGACAGGAATGTTAGCACCATTTTTTTTAAGTTCAACAGGAACCATGGAACCTCCTTCTTCCATTATCTACACAAATAAATGAAAACGTTGGATGCTATATCTATATATGACAGATATATATGTGCTACATCTATCATTCATTCTTTCTGCAGGGCCTGACATAACACTCTTGCTAGTTTGCGTTTACAGACAAGTTGTGTTGTTTGCAGTGGGACATCGTCTTGCCTGAGTACATGCGTGGCACGTCTGAATGACACAATAATGTCTTACCGTGAAGTCCATGTCCTGGCTCTCAAGGACATCATCACATTCTTCATCCAAAATTCTCTGAAGACTCCTTTCGAAAAACAAAGGGCAAAAAAAGAGAGAAGAAACATGACCATTCAATGCACTTTCAAATTCCGCTAAAAACCATCCTTTGACACGCAGTATTTAAATGCACATACATACAGGACACCTATACTCACACAGAACCTTCGTATATGGCCCTAAACTGATCTATCCACTTATGTCCTGCTGCTGCCATGAGCTGAGGGCAAATGCCTTCACCGCGAAGGATTCCAGGCAAGTCCATCCCCACACCCTGTGAGGATAACTTCACACAAAGTTCAGTGGCAAGTGGGCTTGGACCACTGCCTTGTTCTTCCAGATATCACCTAGTGAGGAATTAAGCGTGGACCAGTGGGATGATCTGGGAGAACTGCTTTGGGGTGCAGCACCTCTCCAAGTATTGCAGGCAACCTGACGTTTCAGTCCACTGAGGACTCTTTTGCACCTCAACACAGTCACTGTGTTGTGAGTCCCACTGTCCCACTGAGGCTCGTGGGAAGGGGTTCTCATCTTCTCGGCTGTTTATAGGACTTGCATGGGAAGCTGGGCTTCAGGGGACTAGAAGCTTTATGTTGGTGGCAGCAGCACCCCTCCCTGCTATATCTGCCTGAAATCTCCTTTCCCAGCGCATGGAAACCCCGCACGCGGGTTCTCAGATTTGGCAGAACTGCAGCATATGGTAATACTCTGCTTGTGCATAACAACATCGTGGAAACTGCTAATTAGTAAATCAGAAAAAAAACCATTAGTAATTGGGTGCTTAGTTCTTCGAAGTCTGAACCTCAGTTCGAGAGCAACATCCATGCCCTGGACAAGGACCACCTTGGAAATCTGTGCTTTTAGCAGCTCCACAACGGCAAACATAGCTGCCACGGGTACCCTGAATACGGCCTGGGAGATCTCTGTGCGCACTGTCAAGCTAGGAGACCCGCCTCGGCCGTAGCTTCCCAGCAAAAGCTCGGGCCGTGCCTGGCTCGTACCGGCCTGCGGCTGGCAGCAGCTCCTCGAGGTCCTCCAGGGTGGGCGCCAGGCCCAGCAGCTTTTTGTAGAGAGCCCTGGGGAAGGGGAAGGGCGCCATGCACCCGTTATACAGGGCCATTCCGTACAGCGTCCCGATCTGGAAGAAGATCTTCTTGCAGCGCGAGGCCTGGTTGAAAACAAGCACATAAAAAAAGCCGTGACTGCCTTTTCCCGGGAGCAGGCTTCCCGCCTCCCCGGGCCGCGGGGCTGCCGCGGCGGGCCGGCCCCTTACCTGGCTGGGGAACCACAGGAGGCCGGAGGCGACGCGGCGGAAGGCCCCGGCGCTCGGCTGGCAGAGGGTCCTGGCGGCGACGCTGAAGAGTTCCGGGGACAGCCCGCCTTCGTCCACTCCTGCCTCGCCCTCGAACGACACCTGCGAGCCCCGAGACACCCATAGCGCCGGGGAGACCGGCACCGGCACCCGCGGGGGGGAGGGGGAGAGC